TACTGGCAGCTTCTTGTTGAAGTTATCTGCAAAGAAACGAATGAGGAATTAATACAAGTGTAGGGAGTTCAGGTTAAAAGAGTGTGGGCTTCGGTCTTTTTACCTTGGGACGCCATTAAGTCGTGAGTGATGAAATGTATGTTTTTCCGAATCAGCCTGTGATATGACCTCTTCTTCTGAGGCAGCTGATAAATAATACAGATAGTGTCGAAGTCCTCTGTCGATAGCTCGCACCGAGGGAGGGAACCTGCGAAAGGAAACATCTTTTAAACACAAGCCCGGCCGAGGAGAAACAAAATATCAACTACTATACTCACTAAGTGTTGAAAACTTCGCCGGGACTGTAAGAGGCGCCAGGGGGTCCCCCTCCATTGTGTCCCATCGCCCCGCTGCCCAGCACCAAGAGCTCTTCCATTCCTTGATGGAGCTCGGCAGATCGATCACAAATGGAGTGTGGGAACCCCATGACGTCAGGTAGTACCAACCCCGGGTCTTATCCCCCCCGGCAGTAACCTTGGGTATGTAGAGAGTCTGAAAAACGGAAAGGGGCATCTCCACTCCTAACGACGCCTCTTTCCACAACATCCAGGAGCCCACCATTTGTCTCCAGGAGTTCGGATTGAGCTGCGTCGGGGCTAGCCTGTAAGACCTAAGCACCAACCTAAAGAACGGGTGGATAGGCAGCCTAAGTCCGGCCCTAAGGATCGCCTCACTAATGGCCACGCAGCCCGGCCTCGGGTAACAAGCTCTCTCTTCCGGCTCTGGGAGAATCAGATCCACACTGTCCGAGATCCTATATTCTGTCCTAAGTCTACCAAGGTCGGCCTCCCTCAACTTTGATGGGTAGTCCGATGCCCCCCAGTGCACAGAAGTATCCGGAGGGCTATCTGGTCGCTTCCACATGTTTTCCCCCCCCCATTATGGCCCCGGCTATTTCTGAGGAGGTCGCCACAATGGGCTCGTCCACCCTCACTATTTCTAAACTCCTACCCAAACCAGAACTGCCTTCCGAGGCCATTCGTTAAGAAATTTTTAGAGTCTAAATGGGTACTGAAACTTACGGGTTTGGAAGTGTTTCCTAGCCGGAAATGGTGCAAGATCGCCGGAAATATCGCTCTCTCTCTCGCCGGAGTTGCTTGTAGAACGCCGGAAATCGCCAAAAATTTGGGAGAAAATTTTGTTTTTTCGTATGACAAAGGTAGAAACTCTGATAAGCCCCCAAAGTTCACCTTTTATAGGAAAGACAAATCCAATCTCCACCGTTGAATTCAAAAACGATCAATCTAAACCGTTCTTTGTATTCTCGATCCCAGCCGTTGAAATGAAATGCCAGATTTGATCTACGCCCAAGATGTCGTTGTGGCTTTCACGCTAAATTAAAACGCGTCGCCTCGGTTACCAACAGCCGTCAATAATAATTACTGGCCGCAGCAGCCTTCTAGGGGAATGGGCGTGGTACCCAACTGTCACCTTGGAAACACGCAACAGTTGTCAAATCATTGGACTTCTGGGTCGCCTCGGATGATCTCCTCCCCCAACTTTACAAAGCTTAGCCGCAACCGATGCGAACGTCCCAGTGGCTAATCGCCTCGGGCGCTGCGTTCCCTCCTATGCTTTACAAAGTTCGAGCCATCTCCCCACGCGTCGACCCCTTTTTTCGCCAACGCTTCGGCGAGAAACGAGTCCCCCGACTTTACAAAGCTTGGACACACCCGATGCGAACGCCCCGTTTGCTATCGCCTCGGTCGCTGCGTCCCCTCCCACGCTTTGCAAAGCTTGAGCCGTCTCCCTCTTCCTGCCAACGCTTCGGTGAAGACGAGTCCCTAAGATTTTTATGACGCTTTAACGTATCCGACGCGAGCGTACCACTGGCTCATCGCCTCGGCTCTGCGTTCTTCCCATGCTCTACAAAGTTTCAGCTACCCCCATGTCGCGATCCGGTCAGGAAAACAAATCCACGTATAATATAAATATTCATTCTCGGATTTGGGGGACCACTGTTACGCCTCATTTTACGAGCCTCGGTATCGAAGTAATCGAAGTGTCATCTCGCCACTTTGAAGCCGGTGAAATCAAATAGATCACTCCGACCTCCCGAAGCTTCTCCAAAGTGATACACCGATTCCTATCACTGATCTGTCGAAGTGTCCCGTCTCTGAGGTCGGGTTCAAGTGGACCCCCGTTAGAAGATTCGCTGCCAATTTAAGATTTGCTCTTCATATAAGGTTTAAATTGATTTGACGTCCCCCATAAAGCTGTTTGATGTGACTTATCAACTTTATGTCAATTCAACTCGGGGGAAACAAACTGTCCGCCCACTCTACAAGCGCGGCTGATTGACGCCTATGAGCAGACGCTTCATACCGTCAGATGTATACACGTGTTCCACATCCCACGGTTCATACCACCTATAAATACCCAAAGATTGGCCAGAGGCAAAGGTAATGAAACTCTCAATAGATAGCACTCCATAACAAGTTTATATATTCTCCTCCCCCTTTATTGACTGATTGATTTGTGTAGTCCCTGGACACTGTTCCGACCACCCAAACCTGACTTGACCGTCGGAGTGTATACGGTCGCCACCCCCGTCAGTTCCGGCCGTGTGCGCCTGACAGTTTGTTCATTTCGTAGGGAGGAATACGTGGAGTAGCTACAAGTTGGCCACGTGGAAGAGCCATTTT